GCTTGTTATCCTCTCTAAAATGGCAGTTCAGTCTTCAATCATTAGATTATGATTTTTTGTATGCTTATTATGCATGTTGGTTTCTGTCACCTTATTCTTAAATCTTAATGATGGATTATCTTTGTTCCCAAGTCCTGTAGGCTGTAGATGGCCTTACTTTCGCTGGGTTTTCTTCTTCCAAATTTGATAATGTAACCTGCTAAAGCATGACCAGTAGATTAGTCTAAACCATTAACATCTGTGATTAATTGTGGAACTAAGCCAGTGAAGATGGCATGAACTGGTCTTGTCAGGGTCTACCATTTAGTGCTTGCATATGTGATATTACAGCTGTTCACAAAACTGCATCTATCTTTTCGCAACAAAAATGTCGATGAACTGTAGATTCAGAAAATCATTTTGCCAAGTTCAAAACTATCTGCCTTGTATGACTCAAATCAAAGTTGTTCGATATCATGAAATAAGCAACATGCTTTTTGTCAAACCATATTCTAAATTTGCAATTTGCAAACTGGATTTTTGTTTCTCAGGCTCTGTCTTTTCATTTTTCATCAGGACTTAGGGCCATAATTAATAGAAGGTGCAATCTCTATTTTATCAATAATTTCCTTTACCACACCCGCGTCTGTATGGCATGAGTTCTTATGGTTTCAGAGCACTCTGTCTGGGCTTAACTAATTCTGTTGAAAAAACACTTTCTTATTATCCTAAATACATTGGTGGTTACTGAAGTTCAAGAGAAACATTCCTTTTATTGTTTCCGGATGATGTGGCAAAGCCCTTCACGGGGTTCAAGGGAAACATGCAACATATGTGGTGCCTTATGTAAGCTAAGCTGGGCGTAATTATTCTCTAGGTATTCCATTACACTTTCTTAACATGATATTGATACAGCCATGATAGCTCCTCTGTTCCCTTTGTCGGTTTCACATACATTAGTTGCCCACAAGCTTCTTAGCAGCTTAGCTTTGTTTGCAGTTATATATGCTTGTGAGCTGCAGCAACCATCGTGTCCCACAAATTGTTTCTATGCAATGCTAATTCCTTTATCGCTCCATTTTTGGGGTACTCAGCTTTTTATTTCAGACCTACATTCAGTCAGTCATCCATTAGCAGTTTAGTACTGTGAAGCACCTAGATTGTTTGTCGACATCTCATTTACTTACAGAAGATGGAAAATATCCATGTGCCTCCACATACTTTGTCTTGCATAATTTTGTTGGCTTCTATAAATGGTCTCGTGAATAGAACACTGGCGCACCAATGCCTGATTAATTGTATTGGTTTCTGCTCAAGTGCCATAATGCAATCTTCTGTCTTTGATTGTAAACTCCGGTTTGGTGTTTTTAGTTGCATGGTTCAGTGAAACAGGGCTAGGTTTGCCCATACAAAAAAGGAAAAATCAGTGGAGAAGTAGAATGCACATCACAGTAGGAAGCCTGCCGCTGAAGAATATTATACTACATGTATCTTTATCGGCGAGGATATGAATAATCAGCCTTTTCTTCGAATTTGTGGCAGCCAGATACTATCCAGGGACATCTGTATCTGCTGCAGAGTCATGTTCAGGGTTCTGTTGCAAACATTCATATATGGATGAACATCAGAAGCTGACTATATTCTGTTAGGTGTCCCTATTCTTTAGTGGCATAGCTTAAATGTTATCTGCCTTAACTCAAGAGAAAGTTGTTTGATATCATGAAATAAGTAATATGCCTTTTGTCAAACCATATTTTAAATTTGCAAGCTAGATTTTTTGGTCTGCTGTTTTCTCATGCTTTGGCTTTGAAAACTTAATTGTGACTTAGGGCCACAGTAAGGTGCAATATCAGCCATTTTTTCATATGCTTCAGCTACTCTTCAGAGACAGAGACAGAGCCAGAGGTATTTTATCAATATTTCCTTTACCACACCAGCATATTTATGACATGAGTTCTTATGTTTTCAGAGCATCGGGACTGAGCTTAAATAATTCTGTTGAAAAATCACTTTCTTATCACTTTCTTCTCTTAAAATAGATCAGTGATTACTGGAGTTTAAGAGAAAAGTTCTTTTGTGCCTTCATGGGATTCTTGGGAAACATGCTACATATGTTGCGCCTTCTGTAAGCTAAGCTGGGATATTGAAGCAAATTTATTTTAGGTATTCCTTTATATTTTCTTTATATGATGTTGATCTAGCCATGATGGCTTCTCTGCAGTGTTTGGTTTTCTCAGAACAAAATTCCTTGTCCTAACAAAATAGTAGACGTGTGTGTGAGATTCCTTCATCGCGCTCACAAACATTACTTGCCCAGTAGCTTCTCATCAGCGGTTTAGCTTTATTTGCGGATATATGCTCGCAAGCTGCAACAACCATCATGCCCCGCAAAATTGTTTCTATGCAATGCTAATTTATTTTTGTTCCTCATTTTGAGAGTACTCGTCCGATGGCATTTTTTGTGCATCAACTTTTGAGTTTCTGTTGTGAGAACTAGAGTTTTATTTGTGGATATTGTTGCACACTTAATATCAAAATTGTTTCTATGCAATGCTAATTTATTTTTGTTCCTCATTTTGAGAGTACTCGTCCGATGACATTTTTTGTGCATCAACTTTTGAGTTTCTGTTGTGAGAACTAGAGTTTTATTTGTGGATATTGTTGCACACTTAGTATCCATTCTGTCTCTCATTTGTGATATGAAGAAAAACCTTGGAGAGCTGCACATGAACAGCTGCTGGCCTTATATGGTGTGATATGAAGAAAAACCTTTGAGAGTACTTTGAAAAATGAAGACAGTCAGAAACTGTCAGGCAGTCAGTTAACCACTCCATTGAGGCTAACTTGAATCTCTATGTACATAGAATATGTGGTGCAATGATAAAAACACGAGCAGCGAAGATAATCGTGGCAAAATTTGATAATCATGGCTTTATAGTTTAAATTACGCAGCTCATGAATAAAGGTGCAGGTCGTAAAGGACTTGTATCCGGTAATTGCCTTTGGCTCCTAGGTGCATATGCACCCATTATCGAAATACACATTTCGAAAAGTTAAAAAATTCGGAACAAAAATCCCACGTGTATATCCGGATATTTTATGTGCGTGCACAAGGTTTCGGTGAAAAACGATGTTTCTTGTGGCTTGTGTAAAAAAGACAATTTCTGATGCTTCATTCTAACTATTCATGAGGCATTTCTTTATCTTTTTTACACAAGCCACAAAATGTCGTTTTTCACGGAAACCTTGTGCACGCACATAAAATGTCCGGATATACACGTGGGATTTTTGTTCCGAATTTTTCAATTTTTTGAAATATGTATTTCGATAATGGGTGCATATACACCTAGGAGCCAAAACACCGTTCTCACTTGTATCGCCATTCAATCTCGCTGACCATGTCACTATATAATTCCTCGGGTTCCATTCTTGATATCATCAACCACCATTCTGTGCGTACGAGGCTCAAGAGGAAGGTTGTCGCCCTGGCCGTCATGGAACGTGCTCGAAAGAGGCAAAATTCGAGAATCACCAATCTCAAAGAAGGTGATGCAAACACCCGCTTCTTTCACTTGCAAGTCAACCACAGAAGAAGGAAGAACTTCATCAACCTGCTCAAGCACAACAACGGCTGGGTAGTTGATCATGATCACAAAAAGTCCATCATCCAAAACCACTTTGCCGAGGTCATGAAGCGTGGCCCGCCACGCTGCAAGGGCATCAACTAGAATAACATTCCGGTGCTTGCTGGCGACCTTTCCGCGCTTGGGCCGGCCTTCATGAAGGAGGAGGTCAGGAAGGCGATTTTTTATCTACCCCATGATAAAGCCCCGGGCCCCGGTGGCTTCTTTGGAGCCTTCTTCAAGGAATGTTGGGAGATCATCAAGGATGACATCATGACTGCTATGAGACACTTTCCAAACTTGCACACGTTCAATCTTCATTGGCTCAACTCAGCCAACATTGCTTTCATACCTAAGAAAGAGGGGGCAGAGAGCATCTCAGACTTTCGTCCAATTAGCCTCATCCACGCCATTGCGAACATCATCACCAAGGTGTGGGCTACATGCCTAGCTCATCATATGAACAATCTTGTATCCCCTGCCCAAAGCGCATTCATAAAGAAAATAAGTATCCACGACAACTTCATGTATGTCAGAAACTTGGCAAGGAAGCTCCACAGAAATGGTACACCGACCTTGCTGTTCAAACTTGACATCAAGAAGTCTTTCGACTCAGTGAGATGGGACTTCCTTATGGACCTGTTGAGACACCTCGGGTTCCCGGCCAGATTTCAAGATTGGATTTCAGCACTCCTCTCCACGGCCACCTCGAGGGTTTTGATCAATGGGGTGGTGGGTGACCCAATGAAGCACGGTTGTGGCCTCTGGAAGGGGGATCCGCTATCCCCGCTCCTCTTTGTCCTGGCTATCGACCCTCTGCATCACCTTCTCAACAAGGCCACCTCACAGGGGCATCTCCACCCTATAGGTGGAAGAGCGCCGACCATCAGGACGTCTTTATACGCAGACGATGCTGCCATTTTTGTTAGACCCATGAGGGAGGACGTCCATTTTCCTGCTTCCTCCTTGACCGCTTTCGGAGAAGTGACTGGTCTGGTTACTAACTGTGCTAAAAGTATGGTGGCTCCCATCTGA